GATATTGTCGACATATCCGGCATGACATTGTCGACAATCTCGAAATTGTACCAGTCGCCAACAAAATTGAAAGAAAATGGCCACAAATCAGCAACAAAGTGGAAACAAAATTGAAACAAATCAACAACAAAGTGGAAACAAAATGGGAACAAAAATGATACAAATCAGCAGCAAAGTGGAAACAAAATGGAAATAAAAATAAAACAAATCAGCAACAAAACGGGAACAAAATAGAAACAAAATGGCAACAAATCAGCAACAAAGTGGAAACAAAATGGGAACAAAATTGAAACAAATCAGCAACAAAGTGGAAACAAAACGGGAACAAAATAGAAACAAAATGGCAACAAATCAGCAACAAAGTGGAAACAAAATGGCAACAAATTGGAAAACCTTGATTTTCTCGACTTTCTCGACAAAATATTGTCGACATACCCTATATTCTCGCCATGATATTGTCTACATTCTTGGCATTTTCGACATGATATTGTTGACATACTCGACATTTCCGACATGGCATTGTTGACATTCTCGACATGATATTGTCGACATATCCGGCATGCTAATGTCAAAAATCTTCAACACTCAAATCAGCAATAAAGTGGAAACAAAATGGAAATACCTTGATCTTGTCGACTTTCTCGACATAATATTGTGAACATACCCTACATTCTCGACATGATATTGTCGACATACATCCTCGACATTCCATTTCTGGAAGTGCTTTAACGCAAAGAAAGACTTGCTCGACAGGATATTGTCGACATACTTTACATTCTCGACATAGCGTTGTCGACATTTTCGACATGATATTGTCGACATATCCGGCATGTCATTGTCGACAACCTCGAAATTGTACAAGTCGGCAACAAAATTGAAACAAAACACCAATAAAGTGGAAACAAAACCTGCAACAAAATGGCAACAAATCAGCAACAAAGTGGGAACAAAACAGGCAACTTAGTCAACTGTTCAATCAAATGGTACCATGTCTCAAACGTATCGGTGGTTGAAAAAGATTATTACTAAATCCCGCTTAAAATGGGATGGCCACGTATGCAGGATGCAAGAAAACTGCCTACCGAAATCTCTTCTTCACGGTAAGCTTGCAGACGGTAAGAGAAAACCGTGTGGACAACTCAAAAGGTACAAGGGTTCTTTCCATGAAAACGGAGATGAAAACTTAAAGGGGATAAGCATTCAGAATTAGTGGGAGGAAATAGCGCACAATAGAACGCCCTGGTGAAGAATTGTAAGCTCAGTTAACAACGACAACCAAAAAGTAAAAAGGGAACAAAGTAATAAGATTTGTCCGGAGTGCGAAAGAGAGTCATCACGTATCGAGCTTTTCAGTGACAGAAACTGAAATTGAAATATATTTTCTAACCCTCCTATATTATCGATAATACGGTAATTTGCTAATTGAGAAATTCTATAAAAAGCCTGAAAGTTATTAATAGGCTCGTTTTTTATAGAAAAAATCCCACCTATAGCAAATATCATTAAACCGCCTTGACATGTTTATTTAATACGTACACGTACTGATCTATTTAAAGTATATTAGAGATGTTATCGATACAGATGTTTCCTCTCTATCTTAATTACGATCAGAACCTCACAGTTTACTTAAGCTAAAGTCATTTCCTCGCAAATGTAGCCATCTTCTCGTACCGAATGCCGATGTACCTATAAAGCGTACATAAGCAGGTAATTTCATATCCATTAGTCGCGTGTTGCCTTCCACCACACACATCATCATTATATTCTCATAAGCGGTCGAAATTATGATATTTCTTCGGGATTTTTTGTGTTATTTTCGTGGCTTTATTTGAAGAAAATAACGTATAATTTTCCCGCTGGATATCGCTAAATAAACTGAGTTGTTTTTTTGTTCTTTATTGTTTGGTTAATGTTTGTTAAATAAAAATAAAGAAAATTATAAAAAAGTTTCTTATATGATTACTATCTAATAATGTTTTTTTTATGTCTATGTTTTCCGTTCATTTGTTATACAGGGTGAGTTTTAAATAAGCGCACAAATAATTTTAGGGATAGTATATTTCGACCCCAGAAAAATGTCTATGAGGATTTTATCCCAAAAAAAAAAGATTTTGAAAGGATTTTTTTTTGAAATTTGTTTAATTTTTGGTTAAAAAAATATTATATTTTTATAATATGGCAACATATGTAGTAGATTAAATTCAAAAGAAAGAAAACCTGGAAAAGATCCAGTGGTTCTCAAAATTAAAGCGAAAAATATTTTTTTTTTGTTTTCAAAGTACAATATCTCGGTTATTTTGGACTTATTTGAAAAAAGGTAAAGAGAAAATACGATTCTTTTTCTTTGAATTTTGACCGTTATTTTTTACCTACCTGGCAAATATAAAATCCCTCTGTCAAAAAAGTTACTGATATTCTTTAAATTGAGTGCCTGAACGAATCAGATAGGTAACTCTTTTTACTTTCGTGAAATAGAAAAGGAAAATAATAAAAAATGTGACAGTTCTTCCTCTTCTTGAAAAAATCAACACGAAATGACATAATTGTCAAAAGTAAAATGTCATCAGCTTTTGACATTTCTAAATATCAAACCAATGTCGTCTCTAATAGAACAGCATCGGAGTGAGATTTATGACGTCACGCTAGCTAGATACTACGGATTAATAAATATGTTGTAGAATACATGGAAAACATAATTATTCCTCGTATTTTTGGTTTGTATTTTAAAAATGATATAGTTTACATGAAATATACATAATATATAGTTAATAAATACAATATATATACCTATTTATAGTAATAAATACTTTGGCAAATAAACTATGAACCATACAATGCAGCAAATGTTTTACGATATACAAATAATGAATAGGTACATAAGATAATGGGTAAAATGTAAAATATATTTTAAATTTGGGGGTTTGAAAATCGATCTAATTTAACAAAAAAAGTATCAATGTTCGAAAAATTAGATTTGCAAATAATACAATATCATAGAAAAAAAGGCGTCAGCGAAAAAAATAGTGTCGAATATAATCCAAAAAATTACATAAGTAATAAAATATTATAAATATATCTGTTACTGTAAATGTCCGAAATACAGTAAAACATAGGATTTTTACCAAAAGCAAGTGGTAGTAAAAACCAACCAACCCCACCAAATAACCACCTAACCAATGCATTAACACCCCCAAATAACCAAGCTAACCAATGGATTAAGACCCTCCAAATAACCAGGCTAACTAATGCATTAACATCCTCCAAATAACCAGGCTAACCTAATTAGTGCGCTTATTCTAAGTTTTACCGCATTTCGGACATTTACAGTAACATATATATTTATTTATTAATACATATTTATTAATCCGTAGTATCTAACTAGCGTGACGTCATAAATCTCACTCCGAGACTGTTCTATTAGAGACGGCACTGCGTCAGCATGGCCACAAGTTGCTAACCTAATAAAATTAACACTAGAAAAGCCCGCGGGAACTGTCAAATTCAAAATTATTCGTTTCACAGACTATATTCTAGTTCGCTGGCTTTAATTGTGTTCATCATTTCCAGGTCTTTCTCCACTGTCCTCAAAACCTCGACATTTATAACTTTTGCCACCCAAGGACTTTTCAGGATAAAGTGATTCTATTGGTTGTAGTTTCATTGAGTATTCAGGATTCTGCACCATAAAGAAGAACAGAAAAAACGTAAAATACTGCAGTATTATTTCAGTTTCAAGGGTGACGTTATGACTTTTAAAAAAAAGCTCATAGAGTTAGAGGTTGATCTAGGCATTTCCTATGCTTGTCTTTATTTCCTGCACATTTTTAATTCTTTGCATCTTAATGCATCATAATTCTTATTAATACATCATCATTGTCATTAATTCTTCAACTATCATTAGTTTCTAGATAGTTGTAGTGATCAACTCTCCCGATAACAGATTGGTTTATAAATAAGCGGATTCCTGTGCTTCTTACTGACGATCATAAATTTGGTCTTATTTACATTTACCTCCAGGCCGTACTGACTGTTGTGATGGATGATTTTATTCATCGCGGCCTCTAAGTTTTTGAGACTCTCAGCAACGACGATGATATGTCCATTGGTATTTATTAGAATTCCTTTGTCCGTGCCGTCTAGCGCTTCATTGAAAATTCGTTCTGAGTATAGGTTGGCCTCGGCGCACTCAGTGATGAAGGATTCTGGTGTTTCCCCATTTTTCCCACAGAATCTGCATTTGCCGTTGTTTCTTAACTTCATTCTATTGAGGTGAGGTCATTGAGGAGGTGTTAAAAAACCCGTGACAATTCGAAAATTGTTCTTACTTAAATCAAGGAAAGTCTTTGATTTTCTCGGTCCTAAGTCTTGGGAAATTTCTTCGAGTGTCTTAGACTGTTGGAGGATTCCCGTTCCAAATTACCGATGTAGTCTTTCAGGTTGTTGAGTTCTGCTTTAAGTTGGTTTCGATTGAAGGAGGCCGGGTGGACAACTCAAGAGGTACAAGGACATTTTCCACGAAAACTTGAAGGGGATTCACATGCAGAATGAGTGGGAAGAAGTAGCTCACAATAGAACTCAATAGAGAAGAATCGTAAACTCAGTTAACAGCGACAACCAAAAAGTAAAGAGGCAACAAAGCAATGAGATTTTTGTATGTCCAGAGTGCGGTAGGCAGATAACATTACGTATTGGGCTTTTCAGTCACAGAAAAGCTCATGAAAGAAAACGTCTTGCGTGACCATCTTCTGATGCGTGTCAAATACTCGTCAACGGTTCTAGCTCAGTTAGTAGGATATTCGCTCCTTTTCTAGCTAGATCGTTTGCTTTTTCATAACCTTCTATCCCTTGGTGCTTCTTGAACCCTTGGTAACTAAGAGATTTATAACTTTCGCTTTATTTTTACGCATACTTAAATTAAACAAAACTACTTAATTGTATGACAATAAACAAATACCTAATTGTATGAAATTAAATGTAATTGAGACTTTATCTTGTTTTAGCTCAATGTATCGCACCACTAGGCATGGAAAATGGATTGATTAAGGATTCCGAAATAACTGCTTCCTCATCGTTTGACAGTGGCAATGTTGGACCCCAGCACGGACGGTAAGTCATCCGATCCACAACTATGTATAATTTTTTTTAAATGTATGTTGTTTTTTTACAAAAACCTTATATGAATAAAATATGTATCATTAAATAAATTATCACAGAAAGATAAACGGATTAAATTTTTTCTAAAAGAAAAGCAACATAAATTTATAAAAATGCATCAATGTTAAATAATGTAAAATTATAGTACGAGAACTAGCAACATCGGAAAAACAAGTACTTTAAGATGTCTGGCTCTTTGATATATCTTTTACTATGCTCTCTAGAACAGCATGCGGCCCGTCTGGCTACCGGTAAACGTTGCGTTCCCTACTGCGCATTGAAAGAAGATCCTATATTTTTATTAGTCCTTTAAATTCTAATATTGAATATAAATCGAACATGTCTCCATAGCGCAGTGCGTAGAGTTTCCGACTACGAACCGATGATTCAGAGTTCGAATCCCGGGTCAGAGCAAAAGATTTTTTATTTTATTTTCGTTTATATTCTGATAGTAAAGTATTAAATGTTTGTTTCTTTTTGAATCATCAGAATTATTTAATACTTTACTGTCAGAATATAAACGAAAATAAAATAAAAAAGTCTTTGCCCTGACCCGGATTCGAACTCTGAATCATCGGTTCGTAGTCGGAAACTCTACGCACTGCGCTATGGAGACATATTCGATTTATATTCAATACTAGAATTTATAGGACTAAATTTAAAAAAATATAGGATCTTCTTCCGATGCGCAGTAGTGAACGCAACGGGTATCGGCAGCCAGACGGGTCGCATGCTATTCCAGAGAGCATAGCAAAAGATATATCAAAGAGCCAGACGTCTTAAAATACTTTCTCGAAACCGTTGCTAGCTCTTTAGTAGCTACTCTCCAGTATTTATATTCAGCTCTGCTATCGTGAATTCAGAAAGTCTATCCATCGAGATTAACAACAACTGTCACTCTCATGTGACAGTTTTAGTTCTCAGATTTGAATTTTCTGTCATTTATTGGATGTCGGAATCTCTCTGACTCGTCGGACAGACTGTATAGAATATTATATACAAATGTGCTCATAAAATATATAGGGGGTTCTATTTAAAAGAAGCAATATAGTAAGCACTTTTAGTTAAACTTGAACTGCTAAGACGTGGAAAATATTACTAATAAATTTAAACTTAAACCATTCAGATATGTATCGAGTGTAATGTGTATTTAGAATGTATAAACTCTGGATATAATAAATCAATATCAAAATTGTCAAACACAATCAGGTAGCAAACAATCTATACACCTAGTCTCCCGATTTCGAAACGACATACATATATCCGGGCGCATCAAGCCCGGATCTTCCGGAACAGATGGTTTATTTAAGCGTTTCCGGTTTAATTGTCTGTTCCTCGTTTGGTTCCAGGATAGGCGTCTAATTAGCGTCTCGCGGCGTTACACAGTGGCGTAGATGGAAACAGGGCGGGAGGGGGAGAATGAAAGGGGTGGGGAAATTACGGTGAGGCTTTATAGTTAATCGGGTTTTGGCGTCGGATCGAGTTGGCGCGAGGCGTCGCTACGCAAAGAAAGCGTCGGTTTGTTTGTTCTTCAATTAGGGGCGGTTTAATGGACAGAGCGACGAATGCAGTGGTGGCGGTAAATAAGGGAGAACTGAATAAAAGAGGGTTCCTTTTTCTTGATTATAACGTACGGTCATATGACAGAAACACTGGGACCTGTAAGGCCTATTATTGTGTTTGTCTTCTCCCTATGTCTGCATCCAGGTGTGATGAAGATCTTTGTATGATTGTGCCCGTGTCTATTACTCCAGTAGACGGTCTGCCTTTCCCTGGTCCAGGGTTTTATTGCACTGATGGTTATATATTTGGTATCTCCAGTACTGATTTTGGACCAAGATAATTTCCGATGATTTCCTTTGCCTCCCTAATTTGTTGGCTTTTGTTGCCTTGGATACCGGTAAGAGTCCGAATAAATGATGTTATTATTTTCAAATAATATATAGTGTATGTATAAAATTGTCTATAATTAGTTGCAATTTGTACAGGACGTCCTAAATGAATAAAATTTATTAAAATAATTGTAGTTATTTTAATAAATTTTATTCTTTAGGACGTCCTGTACAAATTGCAACTAATTATAGAGACAATTTTTGCTTTTGGTTTTACTTCATTAGGTAAATTTCGTGAGATAGAAATTGTTAATTGGAAGTTTCATTTTAGTTGATTTAGAACGTCAACGGTTTTAAGTAATATACGTGTCAGCTAAAAAAAATTGTGTGTACACTATGTGCGCATATTTGATGTGAAACTTCTTACTTCCGTCTGTCTGTCTACCTGTTTGTCTGTCTGAGAACTCCATTCGGTTACCTCTATCCACGTGCCGAGTTTGGTTCCAATCCACCCACAATTAAGAAAAATCCTGATGATTTCGTCCATTTAGAGGAATCGGTTCGAAACGTCGAGGACGTCATCCTGTATCCTATTATGCCGCAACTGACCTACGAAAAAAAATCGATTTTTGAGCTAGCTAGGCAGGGATCATCGGCATCCTATCTTGGTCCAGAGCCAGTACTGGGAATACCGAAATGTATGGCCCGTAGCGCACTAAAACTCTGGATCAGGGAAAAGCACAATGTCCGTTGGAGAAACAGACAGGGGCACAGACACAGCAAGGCTTTTATCCAAGGACCTGGCTCTAAAACCGCAAAAGAACTGCTCATGCTTAGCAGGAATAAAGTGCGGATTACAGCAGGCCTCTTGACAGGACACATGGCTGTCAAGTGTTACCTGAACAAGCTCAACCTGTATCAAGGATGTCATTGCGAGGCTCTGGATCGCAAGCGAAACTTTTTATTTGGGAAAGCTAGGCTAGAACCGGAGAAACTATGCTCCAATCCTATCAAGGACCTGCATAAGCTAGTGCAGGGCAGAGGGATAGGAGAATGGTTGCAGATATAGAAGGGGGACAAACACAATAGGCCTCACAGGTCGCAGTGTTTCCGGCAGAGGACGGCCCCTTGTTATGGAAAAAAATCTATCGACATACCAAATTTCATTTAAATAGGACTATTTTTTAATTTGATTCATTGACGATGAGGTTTTGTAGTGCACGAAACGTCGTCAAAATACCATGAAAAGATAACATTCCGAGTTTCAGCCCCCTAGCTCAGATAGGACCCGAGTTACGATGCTCCAAGATCAAAAAGTCAACGTTACCACTCTTCCTGACGCTAGCTTGTGTGTCACGGCCTTGAATTTTTACTCCCATCGCGCGTAAAGAAGTTTCACTCCAAAAACTAAAGCGTCCTCGTAGTAGTTAGTAACATTTCCACATTTTAAATATATTTTTTTCTTCTGACGAATTTGGGAGAAAATATACCTTCTGAAACTTTAAATCTTTATTTTTTGATAAAGCAAATTTGTTTAGGAATAAAAGACCTGTGGCGTTTTACAAAAAAAAATCCATTTTTTAAATTTTTGTTTCAGTGACTAAATTACCCAGAGTTTTTTCTGTTATATTATATTTCACAAAAGAAATTCTAAACTTCTATTCCTTGCATTTCTAAATATCGAATTAAACTCAATTATCCCGCGCACATACACAAACTTTACCTTAAAACCGACCCACTTCGCTCCAGAAACTTTATTTTATTACCCAATAAACCCGTCTCAGTTTGCTTCGTTCTTTTTACCCCGAAGCACTCGAAACTTCTCGACAATTCTCTTAGTCTTTCCTCTCCTACCTCTCTGGCAGAACGTCCCGACTAATTTTCAATCGGGAAAAAACCTGGACAACGGTCAGGGAAACTGGACAAAAATAGAACGAACAAGAAAAAGTCCTAAAAAGAGCACAGGCAGTTTGTAAGTTCTGTTTTTCTTCCAAACTCAATGTTTTGTTCCAATTTTACCCTTTGTTTTAGCGGGAGCTCCTTTGTTTACGATTAAAATCGCATGTAAATTTTCGATAAAATGCTTTTAACAAAGGTTAGGGGTTTGGAATAGGTGGAAAAGGGTATGGAAAGAGAACGAAGTGGAAAAGGTTGTGTAGGAGTGAAGAAGATATTTTGGTAAAAGGACATTTTAGTTTCAGAAGCCTATTTTGAATTGATATTTTGTTTTAACTAATCTGGAAAGCTGAATTTTAGAAAATAAGAAACAGAGTTTTGTTAAGTTTCTTAAAATATGCCAAACATGTGAAACAAGGAGGAACAACATTGTGGAACGTGTTATAATCAATAATAAATGGAAAAATTTAATTGTATTATCCATACTTAATTTAAATATTGATTTCTTATAGGTACGTAAAATTATCAAAATGGAACATAAATATTCGTCTAGAAGTTAGAGCATTGTTCTGTTTTGGGTTATACAAATAACGTTATATACATTAAATCTTAATTTTAATTAGTATCAAAATTATTTAGCGCAAGGTGTCATGGACAAACACATATGAATATTAGTAAAGGTGTCTAACACTTGTTATAAATGCGCAAACATTGTCATATCGTTTATAGTCAGGAAGTCAGGTGAGTTCTTTCTGAAATGAGTTCTTTCTGTTATATTAAAATTAAAAATCAATCATTCTAAAACTCATCTCTCAATTGAAAAATAAAATCAGTAAACAATATAAATTAATCTCATCTTTCATTTATCTATAACGGATATATATAAAAAATCATCTCCGAGCTGGTTGTTAATATCCATCGATTTGTTATACCTTAAAATCAACATGAAATCACTAACGAGCTGCTATTTTTCATTTTCGGATGAAGAGGTGTCGATTAAGATGCAAACAAAAGTAATAAATGACTATTACTTTTGTTGGTCTTTTTACTTACACATAAATTAGACATCTTGGCGTTTTTTGCAAATTTATCATCATAATATTATTAACTCTGTGCTGTATGAGAATTGGAATTACTTAAACTTCTTTATTGTAATAATTTCTTGATTCTTTTTGACTCTTTTGAAATCTTTCTTGATTGATTTTTGAGCTCATACCAAATCAA